GGGAGGGGCGGGCACTGTCAAGCTAACTTCAGACACTGAGATGGTAGGCCCCTATCTTATCTGACACGCTTCACGACGAGCGCTACCTGGAAGGTGTACCCCTAGCGTACATCAGCTTGCTTCCGGCTGTACCAGATGGTCTAGTAGGTTGCGTCGTAAACCAACAAGTAAGCATCCGCTCACGCGCATCTCAAAGGATTTTTCTCTTTCTTATTCTGCTTCGCTGTGGCTCAGCCACCCTGTTTCACCCAGCCTGAAAAGTGTTTCTTCACACCACAGGACATTCCCGGAAATATGTATTATTAACATCAAGGATGTGTTACGAAAATGTTAAATCAAAGGAAGTTATTTTCGTATGTTAAAACAAATACTAATTGCACGACTGCACCCCTCTCCTTCCCCTCTGAGGCACCGCGTACACGCCAGGGGAAAAAGACCCCCCCCCTTTCCTTCTTCTCTGGGTCGGAAAAGTTTCATCTATACGGACGCTTCCATTCAATCTTTTCTCAATGAAAAACGTGTCCATTTGACTCGGTGTCGATATCGCTCGAACCATGATAACTTCTCATTGGGTCGTGACCGCCCGAATGAAATAAAAAAAAAACACCCTCGACTCTTCTCCTTCCAGTTCCCACAACCACCTCCCATCGCGGAACCGCGCAAATAAAAACCGCGCGGACTGAGGAGAAAGAAAAGGCGCGGCCAGTAGTCGGGCCTGGCGGCGCGGCGGTGGCCCCAGAAGAGGCGCCGCGTCCTTGACCGACGGCCGCGCCGCGCCCGACCCGATCCTCGATGCGGACGATATTATTTGGCCACTCGTTACGCTCTAATTGCCTGGACAGACAGGGAGGGGGCATAGAGGCGTTCTGGGCCGATGCGCGCTCCGAACGGCAGCTGCGGTTGGTCCCCGCCCTGCCGCGGGTAGGTCGTGCAGAACAACACTTCTATTTATACGTGCCCCTCTGACAATGGCTCTGCCCGTCAAGTCCTGTTGGATCGTATCGGCTCGCCGCGGGGCTGCCGCGGACGGACGGGCGCGAGTCTCAATGCCCGCTCCTCTGCCCCCCCTCCCCCCCCCTCTCTTTTGCTCTCTCTGCCCATGAAAGCTCTCATAGCGCCTGGCGGGTAGGCAACATCGTCACTGCGATGCATGCGTGTATTGCGGGGTGGCCTACCATGAGTTTCACAGGCGCCGAGCAGCCATGTAATTTTTCGACTGAATGTAAAGGAAATCGGGCGATCCCTCATTAAATGTAGATCATCCGTTCTTCAAATTTTGAAATGTAAAGCACCGTGCCTCACACGCGGTAAATCAATCAGTACGCACTTTACTTTTATGGTGTGAACCATAGGAGGTGCCTGACAGTAACAAATGTGAAGCACGAGTGTGCTCTACCTTACACTTGGTTCGTAATTGCCAAGAATTTGTTAGTATTGCATCAGTGGAGTCCATAGAGACCCCATAATATTTGTACCCCAGGGTAATATTTGTACCCCAAGGCACAAATATTACAGTGTCCATCAGGCTTCAATGATGGTCCTGATCCATTTGGGACCCCATAGTATGTATTTGTACCCCCCTCACATCGCCTGATGTAACACCGCGGATCGTGTGTCTCGGCCTGGGTGTGGCTGGCTCCTCCAGGAGGCTGGCGGCTGGCCCGCGGCGGCCCGTGGTGGTGTTGTGCGTGCTCGGCACGCTCTGTCGCCTCGGGGGTGCAAAACATTCCCCCTCCCCCTCCGGGCTGACGTGGTCCGTGGCGCGGCGCGGCGCTGCGCGGACAGGCGCGACACGACGCCGCCGTCGCCACCAGACAGCCGTGGTGGCGTTGATACAAGCCGGCCCCGCCGCGCCGCGCACTCAAACCTGTCACTCGCCCGGACACGCACTCACACGTCGGTCCTGCCAGTGCTCTGCGGTGCGGCGAGGAGAAGGGAGGATGCGACTGACTGTGTTTCTATCAGCGG